AATACTGAAATTAAACATAAGGAATAAATAAACTCCTAAGACACCTGTCTGGGCCAAAAATGTGCATTAAACAATTTAGCAATTAATGGGTTAATCTTGAACCAAGTTTTCGCTATTAGAGAGAATTTTCCCCACCGAAGTGTTTTGCAGCAATCGGAAAATACAATAATCATTCGGTGCGAGTTAAGTGAATGCAGTGGATGGTGTAAAAGAGTTCAAATAGATTTTCCCGTGTTAATCTTTCTGTGTGCGGCCTGACATCGTCATGAAGAAGAATAGCATTTTCCTTTGATCTACAGGCTGTATATATATTTATGTGCAGTGTTATCAAAGAGAATTTTACATGGACGATACTAGAATATGTTGAACGACGCCGTTCGGAGACCATTTGCAACAATCAACGAAGCACAGCTTCGTAAAATATAACACAGGATATGGCGTCGCATCTTTTTGTGCCACGAAAATGACGGTGTTCATACAGACCTTCTCGGTGTGTGACATCGTCAATGAAAGTGAATAAACTGAATCCAGTACATGTGCTTTGTATTACTTGTTCTTCCATTGTCCCTGTTACTTTTCGGTAGGGGGTGACAAGACTCTCGGACCACACTGTACTATGGTCAAGAAATGGGGGATGTGTTTAATACTAAAGAACAAAAATGAACCCTCACTGTTTATCATCCTTGCATTTAATTACCTATAGGGATTTTTGTAAATTCATCTATGAATCTACAGGGTGGTCCGAAAGTTTTGTCACCCCTACATAACTTAATTTTCTATTTCAAATGGCTGACATGATGGTCTTCATACAAACCTTCTAGATATGTGAGAACGTCAATGAAAGTGAATAAATTGAATCCAGTACATGTGTTTTGTATTACTTGTTCTATTGTTCAAGTTACTTTCTTGGTAGGAGTAACAAAACTTTCGGACCACCTTATATTATGGCCAAAAATGGGGGATGTGTTTAGTACTAAAGAACAATACAAAACTGATCATTCATTTTTATCGTCCTTTCCTTTGATAACCTCTATTACATTTTTTTTCCGTTTGATGGGAGTAAGGGAGTGCAAAAATTGTCCATATTGTCCCAAGCGCTTTCGATCACTTTGGCTATTTTCAGTGTGGGGGTTGTTTATTTGCTGCTAATTTCTCTTCATGTTTTGAATGTATAAAATGTATTTTATTTTTATGTCATTGTGAATACTAGTAGGAATGTTTATTCCGAGCCTTCGCAGGTTCAGCGTGACTGAAATTTGAGTGAGCGTTTATTTTAATTTTTTTTAACTTTCAACGCTCCATTCCCACTGTTAAATAAGATGTGGTTGATAGTGAGTGAGAGAGAGAGAGAGAGAGATACCTAAATTATAGAGCCTGTCCTATAGCGAGATGTTTGCGGTAATGTGATTTATATAGAATTGTAGTGTTTGGGACCAGAATTTTTCTTAAAAGTCCTTGTAAATTGAGGGTTGATATATATTTTCATAGCATTTGATGTGATAAGTGATATGTGAGGCGTCTGCGCAAGGAGGTGGTAGTATATGTGATATAGACTTGTACTGGGGAGTGACTTTAGTACACTAAATTCGTCATCGCTAGTTTAGATTTGAAGGAGTTATTTTTATTAGTAACAAAGTTTACGTTTTTCAATTTTTTGTAATATATTGTAAATTTTACACGTTTTTCGAAAATTATGGCAGAAAAATAGTATTTAATGATTCTTCGTATAGCGAATTCATCTGCTTATTGCGCATCTGGTTGCAGTAAAATATACTGTTGTTTTGTTGTATGGTATTTTTATTACTGGTGTCGTGAATTTTTTGTAAGAATAATTTTCTTTGTTTATCAATGATGTAGTTGCGAAAATTATCATTGCCTAATATTTGTCTTACGCATTTTAGTTCTCTCAGAAATAAGAGGAATTTATGTATGCTCCATTTTGAAAGTGTTTTATCACAGCCATTTTATATCTTTCCGGGCATTTGGCTATCATAGTTTAAAAGACAAGGATTCGTACTTATGTTGTTTTTTTTATATATATATATTTACATTGTTAAATAAGGTGAGGTTGATAGTGGGAAAAGATGTTTTATACAGAGGGCCTCTCTTATAGCAGGCGCGCGCGAGAGAGAGCTTATTTATTTATCTATTATGGCTTCTATATGTGGAAACACAAAAACGATTTAAAGAAATCACAAACTGTTGGGCGCCTCCTGTAGAGCGGCCTTCGTCAGTGCTTAACATTGAATAGCGTTTTTTTTTTTCAAGAGGCTAAATTTCAAATCCAGAAGAGCATACATAGATATTTACTGTCTCATATTTTGTCTCTATATAAAAACTTATA